AGGGATTCGGTCTTATTTTACAAGTGTACAACGACAGAACGGTTCGCATGGATGGAGCACCCCCCTATGTCCCAGGTCTGTGCTAAGCACCTGACACCACAAGGAGGCCAGTATTATTATCCCCATTTTCAGAGAACACGGATGAGGCTCAAGGGGGTTTCAGCAATTTTCTAGACCAGAGTAGGTGGTGGAAGAAGTCAAACTCAGGCAGTGAAACTGCAGACCCCAGCTCCCTCCACAACCATGGGACCTCTTAGAAGGCTTTCCATGTATGTTCATTGTCTGGCACATATGGGGGTTCCTTCACCCTCCCCAAGCACCAGGACTCTCCAGGAACTAGGAAGCACCAGGACAGCATGCAGAGCACACCCCGAGACACCGCGTCTCTGGGGGCAGGAGGAGGGCTTCCTGACACAGGGTCATTCTCACCCACGCAGCCTCTCCCAGGGGAGAAGGACACTGGGGGAAGGAGGGGCCCCCAGAACCAGGGCTCTGCAGGCCCCAGGCTGGGTCCCTGCTTACCCAGCTCTCGGCCAAGGTAGGACCAGACTTCCTGTTTCCTCACCCTGCTGCGGACAACTTAGGGCCTTCTTAGGTGAGAGCCATTTGGGAGAAAGCAGGGTGTTTGCCCATCAGTCTAGGGGAAGGGAGAGAAGAGATGGCTGTCCCTACAAGATGGAAAAGGGAGAGGGTATCCACGTGTCCCAGGTAGGGGAGTGGGAACTGGCCAACTATCTTCCCACGGTAAAGAGAGAGGAAGAGAGGAGGTAGAGAGGGAAGGAGACGGGAGAGGGGAGAGGAAGTAGTGGGGAGAGAGAGAACACTAAGTGTGTTAGTCCAGGATGGGGAAGAAGTAGGTCGAAATTGGTCTGTTCTGTGCGCCCTACTCACCCTCGCCCTCCCCCGGAACAGGACAGGAAAGGGAAGAATGTTCTGCTGATCGGAGGGTGCAGGGACCCTCGGATTCTGAGATGCGAACGCAGGATGCGCGAGTGCCAAAGTGTTATGTCCATGGGGGCGGGGAGGGCAGCCTTCGGTAAGGCTCAAAGCCTCTGGTTTGTTCGAGACGTGGCCGCACAGACGGTGAGGGGTCGGACGAGACGTCTGTCCAGAAAGGGCAGCTCTAGGAGAAGACCCCCCGCGCCTGGACACCCGGACCGCAGCTGGCGCACATGTGTGCTCAGGCCTGCGGGGCAGCGCCGCGGCTGGCAGAGTGCAGGCGCCAACTAGCGGTGGCTCCCGGAACTGCTCCCGCTCCGCCGGCTCCGGTGACCTCCGGCTGGGGACCCGAGCGCCAGCAACTGGGGTCCCCCGGTTCCCGCGCGCACCTTCAGCGAGCGCCCTCCCGGGGGCTGGTGCTGATCCGGGTCCTGGGCCAGGTGCCGAGGCCCACAGGAGCCCCATTCTCAGGAAACCCATTTGTAAACCACCCGTCGGATGAGAGGGAGAAATCAGGCGGAGGGGCGAGTAAGGGCCCGGGTGCAAACCGAAACCATTTGACAAATTGAATTTACAAACTTCGCGTGAAGGGGTCCTGGCCCCACGGCCGCTCCAGGGCAGCCCGCGCCGGCCGCCCACCTGGCCCGGGCCCTACCTGGCTATGGCGCAGTGGGCCTTTCGTTGGGCGGCACCGAGAGGAGAGGCCGGACGCACCCAGGCCCAGGTCCCTCGCTTTCTTCTGGTCCCGCTGCTAGTGCCAGCGCTCCCGAGAGCGCGCGGGCCTCGGCGAAGGCTCTTTGCAAAGTCCAGACAAGGGCCCTCTCGTCCCCGCTTTCCAAATGGCCGGACGACCTGACCGGAGGCTCCGAGCGGGGCAGGGACCAGCGCTCCGGGAGGTCGAGGCCGGCCCGGATTCCGTTTGCTCTGCCGTGCACACTGGGCTTGATTTCGTTTGTCTACGACGCAATGGCTACGGCTGGGCCAGGGTCAGACCCAGGGCGGGATCTTGCGGTCACCATCGGAGTCGACGCTGCTTTGCGCCTGGGGCTTGGAAATTCGCCGTTTTGCGCCTGTCGAGGGCCCGGAGCAACGAATCCTTGTCCCAGCCTCCAAAACGGCGGGGTCAGCCGGCACCAGTGCGTTCCCCGCGCTCCAGGGAGCGCGTCTGGGCCATCCTCCAGAGTGAATGGGTCTTGATCTTTTCCTGCTCCCCTCTCCTCTGTAGCCGGTCCCCAGGCCCGCCGGCCTGGCTCAGGGGGCAGGAGAGGAAGGGATTGTTTGACGTGAAGCCCCGGGAATGGTTGGGCCGCGCCGGGGAGTGGGAGCGACTCGCCAGGGCCGGCGCGCAGACCGCGCCTCGGCGGAGCTGCCTGCGCTTCCTACGGCGCGACCGGCTGGAGCGCACCGTCCGGGGAGACGTGGGCTTGGACCCGCGGCAGCCAGTTTGCATCCACGTGGAGGAAGTAAATTCCCTCCTTGGAAGCCTGGGCCCTTAACTTCGCAGCCATTCCCGTTCTCCGCACACATTTTCTTCTGGCTACAAACTAGCGTCCTTTTCCACGATGCAGGACCGTGGTTACAAGCACGGGGGCTGGTGTTGCGGGGGAGGAGGGGTAAGGGAGGGAGATCAGGGAAAAGCACTCGCATTTTCCAGGCTCATCCTGTTTCTCAACTAGCCGCTGACCTCCACAACGAAGGACTCAGCGAGGCCTGCGCGGTCTTCGCAGTTGTGTGGCAGGAGAGCGTTGAGGAACAGGGTTAGTCGCCCCCGAGCCGGATGCGGGCCCGTGGGGGCACCCTTCCCTCTGTCCCCGGGTTCACACCGGGGCCTCCGCGGCCGGGATCACAGCCGCGCGGGGCTGGGAGCTGCAGAGGCCGCGGGTGCGCGCTTACTCTCTTGTGCTGTGGAAGCTCTTGGGTCAAAATAATTTGCAGGCGGGGCGGGGCGGTGAGAAGCCTTTTGGGGGGCAGCTCCCCGCGCGATGTCACCCGCCTTGGGGCCCCCGCGGCTCCCCACTGGGGTGCAGGCTGCACAGGCCGAAAGCAGCTGGAGTTGGGGAGGCCCGGCCGCAGGCAAGCAGCGGGGAAGGGGGAGAGAAAGGGAGGCGCGCCCTGGAGACAGTGGCAAATGAGCCTTCGGTAGGACTCGGTTGCTTTAAACTCATTTCTAGCCGCGGCCCAGTTCCCCGGAACCCTCGAGGAGCCCCGGGCTATCGCGTGGGGGCAGCCGGCCCCGCGCGTCCTCCTCGGGCGGGCCTTCC